GGGGAATAGAGAGGTGGCAGTGGAGGTGGAAAAGGGGAGGGGACAGGGTGATGCTAGGAGAGGAGGAGGCAAGGGGGCAAGAGGAAGGAAAAGGAGAGAGGTTGAAAGGAGGAAAGCACGGGTTAGAGCAAGTCATGTGTGAGGGCGCAGAGGGGCGTGAGGAGAATTGGGGAAGAGGGTGGTGAGGGGGTGGGCACCAGGGAGGAAGAGGGCAAGGAGGATGGGTGTTGGGAGGGCAGGGACAGTGAGGGAAGGAGGAGGCACCAGGAGGTCACAGGGGGTAAAGGGACGGTGCAAGTGCCAGGAGGATTGTGAGGGTGAAACAGAAGGGCAGACATGAGGAGTGGAGTGGAAAGGAGGAAAGGGCACCAGAGGGCAGAGGAGAGAGGCAGGGCAGGTGGGTAGAGGGAAGTGTTAGGGGAGGGGATGGGGAGGGAGGTTGGGGAAGGGGGGTGGGCACAGTGGGGAGGGGAAGGGCAGGTGCAGGGGTCAGAGAGGATAAGGAGGTGGGGCAAGTCCCAGGAGAGCTATGGGGAGTGAGACAGGCAGGAGTCAGGACTGCAGAGAAGGATGAGGGTTGGAGAGAGCAGCAAGCACCAGGGGAGCAGGTGAGGCGAGGGGAGGATGGGAGACATAGCAGCAGTGGGAAAAAGGGAGAGGTTTATAACTTGGGTGCCACATTGGCACACATCCGAAGAAGCGCACATGACCTCAATATTGGCACACAAGACAAAACTCACTCCACTCATGGATGGAAAATCTTAGAGGGAACACTGGTGTAGAGCAGGGATGTTTATTTGTGTAAACATGTAAATACTGAATTTTTCAGCATTTACATGTGGGCGGAGGTGGGAGCTGGTGCTCTTGGAGATCTAGCTTTCAAGCCCTCTTCCTGCCAGCGCTGGCTCCTGTTTCCCCCCATGCTGCTACCTCTGTAACAGAAGCAGCAGTGTGGGGTGCAGGCTTTTAACTCCCCCAGGCATCCCACTACCCTCAGTGAAACCCCCCAGCCTCCACCACCCCCGGTGCCTGCTCCACAGAGAGGTCCCCCAGCTCTACCACAGCAGATGCCAGCCCCCCAAGGTCACTCACGTCGTCCAAGAGGTCCCCACAAGCACTGGCTCCTGCTTGTCTCCCCCTTTCTCCGCATTGCTGCCTCTGTGGTAGGCAGAAGCAGGCTGTGGAGGGAGGAAGGCGGCTCTGAGTTTACCAGCTCTTGCCGGCACCCCCTCTCCAGGACTGCTGCCTCTGATACAGAGGCAGCAGCGTGGGGAGCGGTTGTATGTAACGATGAAGGTTAACCGTGTCATCGGATACATGTTCACATTCCTAGTGTAGACATACCCAGAGTAGACTGATGCAGCAACACTCTAATGCAAACACAGATGTTACAGTTTCACTCAGAGCCCCGGTACTCCTTTCCACCTTTTCACAGATCTGGAAAGGGCTTGAAAGAGTATCAGAGCATTCAAAATTTCAGAGTACCAGTGAAGATTTTTAATCTGAGAAAGAAACAAATAGTATCGAGCAATTTCATTCGAATAGTTAACCCAAATTCCAAGAACATTCTCAAAACACTGCTACTAAACAAATACCATTGTACACAATGTTTAATATTTATCACCCTGACACTGTTCTAAGGGTGAATAATGATCTGATTATGCATGCTTCAGGGGGTAGCCAAGTTAGTCTGTACATGTTATTCCATGTGAACGGAACCCTGTGCTTGCGTGAAGACCTGTGGACTTCAGTGATGTTGGTGCAATGATGTAGCCACATGGAGTAGCTTACAAGCTTGGAAAACCAATCTTTAACCACCACCAAATCTTGGGCTTTGCACATAGGGAGGCTCAAGTCCAGACACAAGCTAGAACTCCTAATGTTTTACATCTTTAAAGTTCTTGTTTATTTGCAAAGCAGCGATGGAATATCTGGAGTGAAGGTAGTCCCTGCCCTGAGGTGCTTACAGTCTGAATGCAACCAGGGAAAGCCATGAAGTCTGAACACAGGAGCACTGCCCTTGCAAAACTTCGGCCCATTACTCTACCAAGACTCT